AGTTTTAGGCGGGGTGTTACAGTTGGTATCAGAGCCACTTAGTGGTTCTGTATACTAAAATTTTAGTAAGATATGATCACACCACGCTCACGCCACGCCGACTCCGAGGTAAGTCACCTGTACAGCTTTTATTTGCGAATGCATATTTAATTATATTCAGATTATTTCAGGGGCGTTAGATCTATCCTTCGATTAAGATTTGAGAATTCTAGTCAGAACTCTAGTAAGAACTTAGAGGATTTAGTGTACCCGGAACTCTAGCCAAGCTAGGTGTTTTCGGAATCCGATAACTTATTAAAGTATAGTGTAGCTATTTATTAATCGGCTATACTGCTTCAGTTAGAATTTCAGCAGAGATAGTTAACTTTGAGAACTTCTGTTAACTTTCTTGAGTAATTAATTCTCCGTCAAATATTTAATACTTGCTGCTAATCCCTGTCATTTGACCATCCAGATGCCTCCTCGTCGAGCCCCGATTCCAGTACCGCCCCCGCCGGCCGCGCCAGTGCGCGATCAGGCCTTTTCAGTTTCTCAGTTCCGCGGATACCACCCTGCGACGTTCAATGGGCAGGGAGACCCGAGGCTTGTCGACGAGTGGTTGCGCAGCCTTGACATGATTTTTGAGGTGATGGACTGCCCCGAGCCTCACAGGATCATGTGCGCACAGCTACAGATGATAGGGGATGCAGGTCTCTGGTGGCATTCGTACTGGGAGATGCGACCCGGGGAGAAGCTGGCCCTCACTTGGGCTGGTCTGAAGGCGCTCCTTCGGGAGAAGTATTACCCGGCCCACTACAGAGAGAGGATGGAGAGGCAGTTCCTAGCACTGGAGCAGGGTTCTAGGACTGTCGATGAGTATGAGAGAGACTTCACTCGCCTCGGCTTCTTCGTGCCGTACCTGATTGATACGGAGGAGACGAGGGCGAGGCGCTTCAAGGGCGGTCTTCGCGGGGAGATTCGCCACCATCTCGCGGGCCTTGGCGCCCTGACTTATGCTGAGACCGTTTCTAGGGCTCAGCAGATTGACGAGAGTCTCCGACTGGAGGCCATTCGTACTCGCGCCTCCCGTCAGCCAGCTCACCAGCCACCGGCTCAGCAGCCAGCACAGCAGGCCCCACCGCAGCTGGCTCCTCCCCAGCAGCCACAACGTCAGAACAAGAGGAGGGGGAGGGACCGGCAGGGTAGGAGGGTCCGACAGAGAGATTAGGCCCCAGCTCAGGCCGTACAGCCAGTTCAGCAGATTGCCCCAGCCTGCGCTACCTGTGGACGCCACCATACCGGTGAGTGTTTTGCGGGACGAGGCATTTGTTTTCACTGCCACAGACCCGGACATTTGAGGGGAGATTGCCCAGACAGAGCTCAGCGTCAGCAGGGTCAGCGTCAGCCGGCCCCGAACCAGCCACGTGGAGCACCAGCAAGCGTCTACGCACTTGACCAGGCACAGGCCGCCGAGCAGCCAGGTACCATGTCCGGGATGATTTCTTTATGTGATGTGCCTATCTTTGCGTTGTTCGACACCGGGGCGACACATTCGTTCGTCTCGGCCAAGTGTCTAGAGGCCATAGGGGTCCGAGGAGTGAGTGTTGTCGACCCCCTCGAGATCAGCCTAGCTTCGGGGAGGAAGATAGTTACGAGCTCCTTGGCCGAGGATCTTAGTATGAGTATTGGTGGCAGAACTTTAGAGGTGGATGTGTTCGTGATCGAGATGAGGGACTTTGACCTCATTCTCGGCAAGGATTGGTTGGAGAGATATCAGGCAGACATTCGATGTCGTGATAGAGAGGTGACACTACACTTAGCCGAGGGAGATCGTATCACGTTCTTCGGGACGAAGACGAGGACCCTACCCCAAGTCATTTCGATGGCGAAGACGACTAAGTGTTTGCAGAGAGGGAATTTCCAGGGATACCTGGTGAGCATAGTCGGGGAACCTTCGGAGGAGCGGATGCCCGGAGATGTACCCATTGTGCGTGATTTCGTGGACGTCTTTCTAGATGAGCTACCGGGAGGACCACCTAGTCGTCAGGTGGAGTTCACGATCGACCTGGTGCCTGGAGCCGGGCCAATGTCGAAAGCGCCGTATCGTATGGCGCCGAAGGAGCTTCAGGAGCTGAAGGCTCAGATCCAAGAGCTATTGAGTCTCGGTTTCATCCGACCGAGCGTCTCTCCGTGGGGAGCACCTGTCCTTTTCGTGAAGAAGAAGGACGGGACTTTGCGTATGTGCATCGATTACCGGGACTTGAACCGGTTGACAGTGAAGAACAAGTATCCACTCCCCAGGATCGAGGATTTGTTTGACCAGCTGAGGGGTGCCCGTGTATTTTCTCGGATAGATTTGCGATCGGGCTACCACCAGCTGAAGATCAAGGACTCTGACGTGGCTAAGACCGCGTTTCGTACCCGATACGGTCACTATAATTTTGTCGTGATGCTGTTCGGCTTGACCAATGCGCCGGCGGTGTTCATAGATCTCATGAACCGTGTTTTCTACCCATTCTTGGACCAGTTTGTCATCGTCTTCATAGATGACATTTTGGTCTACTCGAGGAGCACAGCCCAGCACGAGGAGCATTTGAGGATTGTGTTGGAGACTCTTAGGCGGGAGAAACTGTACGCCAAGTTCTCGAAGTGCGAGTTTTGGCTCGATCGAGTGGCGTTCCTCGGTCACATCGTTACGGCCGAGGGCATTGAGGTCGATCCCGGGAAGATCGAGGCAGTGAGGAACTGGTCAGCACCGAGGTCTGTTACCAAGATACGGAGTTTTCTTGGGTTAGCAGGCTACTACAGGAGGTTCATCGAGGGGTTTTCGAGGATAGCCCTACCCTTGACACGTTTGATGAGGAAAGGGACGAAGTTTGAGTGGAGTCGTCGCTGTGAGTCGAGCTTTCAGGAGC